TATGCTGTTCTTCCGCTTGCCGTGCCGTTCCTTGCAGTTGTCTTTGGCATTGTGCAGCCGTGTTGCCTCTACTCCATTGCCTGGTGCTACGTTCCACTTGGGGACAGTCTGCCTTCAACATGGGTCAAAGGGTTCATGACCCAAACCATCAAATATGCAGTTGCCCAGATTGTCGAGGGTTCAGCCTCCTGATAAGTCAGTGCAACTCCGACGAAACAATCTTGTTATCATCAGTTTTTATTTTTTTCAGTTTTGGTTTTGGAACTCCATCCCTTTTTGCCTGTTTTTCTTCTGTTGTGCTCCCTTGACTTCCTCCGCTTCCGACCTCTTCCCCACCTCGAATTCCCCCTGAACTATCGCGTTTTTGCCAGTGGCTTCTTTTGCCATCACTTCGCCGCTCGCCTCCTTTGCACGGTCTTCCCCCATCAATCCCCCTCCTTCCCTCTAAATATCCTTCTCTTTAGTGTCGCCCGGACACGGTCCAACCATATGGAGTTGTACGACGTCATTTCCGGCACCTTTCCCGCTATGGAGGACTACGAGTCCCTAAGAGATAATGTCCTCCGAACTATTCCCTCCCTATATCCCGATTACCTCCTTGCCCTGTCTCGACCCAATCATCGTTTCCCCCGCGTACATCGGATCGTACATTTTGTCGATCTCGGTGATGAAGCGGAAGACTATTTCCCTCCACTCCCACCTGAATGGCCCCGACCCCTCCATCATCCCCTCCTTTTCGACTACCGCCGGGCGGATTTCCAATAGCACGGCAAGGGTGCATAGCACACGGAGGATCCGCGGACGATGATGGCGTCACCTGGACGACCTCTGGTGGTCCCAACAGTTCGAGCCAGCAGATTCACCAAGAAATTGCAATTGAAGTTGGCGTCAACATGATCTCTGTCTCAATTACCTGCTTGATGTGAAGCATCCTCCCTCCTGATACGCTTGGTTCCTCATGCATCCTCTCATCCCCCTCTTTCCTTCTCCGCCATGGCATGCAATCAAGAGATCGCATAATTTTGGAAACCCCTGCGCGTCACATATGTGACGTACTAGCTTCCGAACCTGCGCCATCTTTCGGACCCCTTCCTTTTTCCCGTGTTCTCTCTGCATCCAGATGTGTACAGTTCGACCCCAAGACCCCCCCCCCCTCCCCTTTCTGTCTGTGCCCAATTAAAGGTACCTTGAGGAAATCTGTCAGCTCCCTTTTTTTTTTTTTTTTGGAATGGAAAATGCATGGGAATTTCGCACGCCTTAACGAGTGCGCTTGGAATTTGGCTCAGCAGTTAGAAATCTCGGAATTATCGAAATACCGCGCGGCCATCCGCGCGTGAATGTTATCGGCCTCGACCTTGAAGACTCTGGGAAATTCTTATACGAATATGGATCGACGGAAGATTTTCTTTCCAGCGCCTGTTTTGCGCACGGATATGGTACTTTCAATTTTGAATTAGCATAGGATTGGAAAAAACTGCAACTGTTTTGGTACCCATTTCCCTCTTGCTGACAGGCGCCATGCAAGCAAGCTCCCTCCTCCTTCCTCCCTTGCGTTCCTCTCACCATCCTTCTTCGCGTGCACACGCTTTCTTGCCCTCGCCCCCTGTAACTGCTTTTCCCTCCCCTTTCTCAGCGCGCGCCTTTTTTCTTTCTCCTTCTTGATCATCTGAATCTTAGACCCGTTTCGTGCTATCCTTCGTGCTCTTCTTCTTCCCGCTCTAAAATCCGCGCTCGAAAACCCAATCAATCCTCTCTCCCCATCTAACCAAGGAGAAGCGTCGTGTAAGTTCTTACTGCACGACGATTCTAATTGGTGTCGAGGTCGAGTTAGGAGGCTCAACATGGTTGTCGATGGGCGGCCACTTTCAAACTTTCTATGCCCTCCTCTGCCTCACCCTTCACCCTTCACCGCGGGCGCCCCCGCAAAACTCTCTCTCAACTCATCGGCTAGCTTCCGGGAAGTAGTGGCTAGGTGGTGTGTATGGTGCGAGTCGAAAAGTCCTGACGAGCCTATTGTAGACTGGTTGGCGGTGCGCTAGATCGCCATGACGGACTGTGGGATCTGGGCAAGCCACGTCAAGACTAAGTTGGCGGGGTGACGATCGCAGTGGTGGAGGATGACGCGCGACGAAGTTGGCGGTGATGATCGCAGTGGTGGAGGATGACGCGCGACGACCGGGATCGTCGGTGTCAGAATGCGGACAGGTGATCTGAGTTGAGTGGATGACTGGCCCAGGGCCGTGTTGGAAATTGGTGGTGCGTACGCCCTCTTGGTTGCGAATCTAATATTTGGTGTGACTTTGCGGCGGTAAAGCCGAACCTTCTTTCCCTTCCTCGATCTCAGTGTAATTTTTCCTTCCGATCTTGATTCCTCCTCCTCTTTCTTCCTTCGTTGTGGATGGTTCTATGTAACAAGTCAAAAGTTGGCCTGTGATGGAATGAGTGTGATGACTGTGTTGAAATGTTTTTTTCCGGAACTCTTCCATTACTTTCCTGGGTAGTCCCCCGAACTAGGGGGGGATTTTGTCTTGTGAACGGTGGATGTGCGTGTATCGACCACCAAAGATTCTTCCCTTAACGTCACCTTGTTGGGAAATTGCATGATTGTCATTTTCGCACCTTCCACACTGAATGCATGCATGGGAGATGGGAGTGAACGGATACGAAACCCATCTTGATTAGGGCAAGTCGATGGCAGGTTGTTGGGATTTGGAAATACAGGAATGCTTTGATTTGTGATTGTCGTAGGAATGTTGCGAAGGACATACGCGACGCACACACAAAATAGGGACCGCGTCGCGCCACACATGAGCTTTCCTTTCTCTTTCGCCGCACCCTCTGTTTCTCATGACTGACCTTCCTGATTGATTGCTAGGATTGCATGCACGCGATGAATGGTTAAATTATTTATGATTGTTTGCCATGTGGACTAACGGGCTCAACCCGACTAGGCGACAGCCTCCCGTATCCCCTCTCCGCCCCTTCCCATATAACGAGGATAGGACGCGTATCTGTGAGTGGGACATACAAAAAATCGTCGCACAGATCGGTGGGCAGTACTATTTCCCTCCTGAAAATCGGTGCTCTGGGTTCGTAGGCGCTGGGTTTGTCATTGTGGATACGCACTTTCCACCGTACTCGCTACTACTACCCTTGACCGAGTTGATTGTCATCCCGTGGTCGGCAGTGGCACCCCATTGGCCTAACACCTTGTGTAGTGATTGCCAACGTCTGGATCACTACCAGTTGAAGGGGTTCCTTTACCAAACGCGTAACGAGGACTGGCACAAGGAAAGGGCCACGCGATTGAAACCATCCACGTTGGATTCGGAATTATGTAGTGTGCGGCGTCGGGAGCTAGTGCGAAAACGAGATACTAGACACGTGCCCGCTCCCTTCCACTCCAAAGGGAGAGCGGTGGCCCGGTGGGAAGTCCGACAACACTTTTTGGATTGAATTCAAAACTTCCCCGCGTCACGAATCCCACGCGCGCCGAAACCCGCCAGATCGCTCACTTCATCAGACCAACACGGGGGATTTCAGTTCTGTCTGTGTCCCCACACTCAATTTTCCAAAAATCCTTGGCACACCCCATCTTGCTGTTTTCCGGGGCCTCCATTCCGCACCCTTAGCACTCCGAACGGAAAACAGCCCAGGGCGTGAGATACCCTCCAGCCTAAGTCTCTTGCTTCACCGTATTTCATACCTTGCTTCTTTTTGTTGTTTGTCTGCCCACCCACCCTCCCCAAACTCTCCACCCTATGCAATTTTTTCTGCTCTCTTTCGTGGCTTGATGCCAGGTGTTCGTTTGCCTGTCCGCCCGGCTCCCCATACCCTCCAGCCTTCGTCTTTTGCTTCGCTGCTTTCGTGCTCTGCTGCTGTGTTGTTTGTCTGCCCGCCCGGCTCCCTCGTGCCCTCCAGCCTTTGTCCCTTGCTGCCGGATGCTTGTCCGATGCCTTGTTGGTTTTATGTCCGATGCCTTGTTGGTTATATGTCCGATGCCCTTCGCTTCACTGTCTTTCGTGCATTGCTGCCTTCGCCTTTTTGCTCTTTGGCTCGCTGCTCTTTGACTGGAGCTTTTGGTCTGTGGTCTGTTGCTTTTCTGGCCTTCGCATGACATTTGTGCGTTGGCCTTTGCATGACTTTTGTGCGTTGGTCTGTGCATGAGGCATACCAGGTTACAGGCTCATATCCAAGTGTTGTCATACCCATGCTTTTTGACGCAACGCGGCAGTATTGTATCGTAATAAAACACACACCCACACACCCACACATACAAAAAAAAAAAAGAAAAAAAAAGTAAAAAGAAGTAAAAAAAAAGTGTGGCAGTGTACATTTTCATGTTCTAGTCATAGATTCATTTGATTTTGCTCATCTTATCGATGAAAGTACCATGAGGCCAGCCGCCAGGTTGGAGACTAACCTGTTTTCTCTCTCTCTCTCTCTCTCTCTCTCTCTCTCTCTCTCTCTCTCTCTCTCTCTCTCTCTCTCTGTGTGTGTGTGTGTGTGTGTGTGTGTGTGTGTGTGTGTGTGTGCGGCATTTGCGTCTGACACCTCCTTGGTCCATACTCACACCGGGATTTCTTTTCAATGTATCTGTCTGTCGCAGTGTATGTTCCTATGTTCTTGCAGAAGATTCCTTCTCATTTTGCACATTGGCAGGCTGCTCAGTTGATGCACACATGAAACTGTTGAATTGCAGACGTAAGTCCGAATCCAGCGGCGGACATGATAAAATAGTTCCGATTTACAAAGGATCCGACGGTGTGCTGATGCCTTGGCCGATGCCCCCCCAAATGCTGCGTGTCCCTCATGTTCTAAAACAAAAACCCTCGATCTCGCCCGGGCCAGATAATGGCCGTGCCTGCAGTGGGGCTGGCACTGGGCCGTGGGTTTGCCGCGCTGGGTTCAGTTGTTCCTATTAAACCACCAATACTTGGCCCATACATTGGCCATGGGGGCCCCTCACCGCAATTTTCTGAGGCCGTAAACGCGACGCTGGCCATTGATGAGATTTATCAATGGCCTACCGTCCCCTAAAGTCGCGGCACGTTAACGTGAGGGGCCTGCAGCCAATGTATGGTCCGAGTACAGGTGGTTTACACTTTAAAAGCAATCTTCGTAATCTTTCCGACTCAATCAACTTAGCAGCATTCAGTCTTTCCTATTAAAAAATATATATACTATTAGTCTTTCCTCTTAAAAAAAACAATGTTAGCAGCGTTAGCAGTGCTACACTTGGGAGCATGGATGTCCAATCTTTTGTGTCTAATCTGGTAGCCGCGCTGATATAGCCTCAACCTCTCTCCCTCCGGCGTATTCCATGTGAACAATGAAGACGCAGTGAAATCAAGAGCACCATGCAAAAGAAAAGCACCATTTCAACTTTACGCTGGGCTGGCTATCTGCCGATCCACCGACCCTGCTCTCGTGTTCTGTTGCATATTTCAGAGCTCTCCCATAAAAGTTTGTCATCAGACTCATCATGCCAGCTGTGCATGCAAACCCGACTGATCTTCCGACCCACACGAGCACTGCGTGACATGAGGCTGGCTGGCTGCCTATCTTCCGATTGACTGATCTTGCTCTCGTCTTCTGTTTTCGTTTTGAAGCTCTCGTCCTGCCAGCCACGCAAAGCATAGCACATGCACGAAGATGCTCGGAGAACCCTGCCTGAAGCGCAAAACACTGCATGACATGTTAACCAACCAGTACTTGACCGGCTTAGGTCATGGATTCTGTAGAAAAGGTGACCGGCTTAGGTCATGGATTCTGTAGAAAAGGTAACTGCGGGGCACGAAGGACTGCAGCTGTGATTATTCTGCGCAATGCTTCCCATCTCAAACGCACGACTTGTGGCTCGCCATCGATATATGCCAATTACAACGTAGGAAATTTGAAATGCATAGCGCGCGTTTCGAATTTCAATCAAGGTCTGTACTACTCTGCAGAATTCTGCGGCATCTGACTGGATTGACAGCCAAGTAAGTACAGTACTATGCTGCACCTAGAAAGAACTTACACATAACTTTGTGAAATGACTTCACAGTTCAAATCAGTAAATTACAGTTATTCTGGTTCTCCGCTCTAATCTGTATAATGCTACTGATATGGGCTTTCAACTTTCAAGTATAGCAATCCGTCAAGAAGACTGAAAACAGTGAAAAGTCAGAAGTGTAACAAAAATAGCAAATTCTAAAGACACCAGCTTGTGGCTATAGCAACAAAATGTTCAGACCAACCACTTTGACAGTACCTGGCAGCTACAGAAGGGGATGATGAGAAAGGGGCGCAGAACATCGAGTTGCGCTGGCGGCAAATACTGACGACGTTGATGCGTAAAACACCAGTACTTCCAAAAGCCGTGCCTGTAAACAAGCCTTTTCGATTTTTTATCTAACTCGGAACGAATGAGCGATTCGCGACAAATCGAAAAGCCAAGTCATCCGTCCATGATGGATGCCTACCGCCTTCACCCGAAAAGAATGCCCGGTCATTAAAGCTGTATTTGGGGCAAACTTTCAGTGCAGATGCAGCGAAAATGACCGGGCACTCTATCCAGGTGAAGACGACAGTATCTATCACAGGTGGAGACTTCCTCCTGCTCCTCACCTGCCTTTTCTCCCCAATAGAAAAGACGAGTCTTACTGCTCACGGGGAGAAAAGGTGGAATAGTGTAGAGCAGTAGGGGTATTGTCGATATTTCCCATCAAGGCCTGCAGGTCCTTCCACTCCACATGCAGCTGGATTGCCCACAACCTGTGCCCCTCCTCACCTCCCCTACTCAATGTGTGCGAATGTCCACCTCTTGTCACATGAGGCTTCCACACCACCAAGCTTTTCACTCTGTTGATCACCCCTTCTTGCCAGCGGTTCAAACAGCTGCCGAATGGGAATAAAACTGACAGAACACAGAGACTCTCTCTCTCTCTCTCTCTCTCTCTCTCTCTCTCTCTCTCTCTCCTGTCTCTTATACACATCTAGATGTGTATAAGAGACAGCTCTCTCTCTCTCTCTCTCTCTCTCTGTCTCTGTTGGGGGGGGGGGAATAGATCCGGCAGAACACATGGACTCTCTCTCTCTCTCTCTCTCTCTCTCTCTCTCTCTCTCTCTCTCTCTCTCTCTCTCTCTCTCTCTCTCTTTTGTCCTTTCCCGAGGCTGACTTCAGCATGGTGCCATGAAGGCGCAACTTAGTCAGTGGCCAAACCGGACCGTAGCTGCTTCTACTTCCTGCAGTTTTTGGGATAATGACAACCGCAGAGCTTCGATGGGTGATAATCATCCTCGTGATCTCATGATGCATGATCTTCTAACAAAAAACAGGCAATTGCAGCGTTCGCAGCGTTTCCGACATAACCACATTATCTTGTTCCTGGACAAGGTAGAGAATCTATATATATATATATCGTCACAAACAGCAATGGGCTGTGTATGTCTCCTATAAAGCTGGCCAGGACTGTTCAGGCTATTCGAAAAGGCTGATGAGTACACCGCTGACGATCCGCCGGACGAAGGGATTGGGGATGTTGCGACAGAGTCGGCCATCCAGGTACGCAAAGACACTCGACAGGATCATGTTGCGAGCAGCACCTCTGAAGCCCCCACCCCGCTGACCGGCTGTGCTGGGCACTAGTACACTGTCTTCGCTTTCTGTTGGGAAAGACGGTTGGCGCTGTAGTTCTGGCTCTTGCCGTTGCTGGATCTTGAAAAGCTGCAAGATTTTCCTCTTCAAAGTGCGAACAGCGAGGATCGTCAGCAACTGTTCCGACATGGAGAACACCGCTCGCGCAAGATTGGCCTCCTGTCATCGGGCACACAACGCACAAAAAGGAGTAACAAAGGCATTATTTAGGGGGGGGGAAGAAAAGAAAAGAAAAGAAAAGAAAAGAAAACAGAAGTGTGATGACCCATCCAAACATGGACTGAAACACACGGCTGATTTCTGAGTTTGGCCCATAGACTGAATGCCTTGCTGAGTTTCCCGCCTGCTACTAAGTCTGTGTGTGCAAGCTTGCTGGACTGCATGTCTGTCTGAGTGCTGGTTGGCTTGAGTGTGTGTGTGACCCGCAAGGGCACTTGCTCGTTCATCGGGCCCTCAGGGCCGGTACTTACCTGTGGCCGTGACATTGAGGGATTACAGCGGGAAAAACACTCAAGTAGCGGGTAAGCCGGTACTGCACCTTAAAGAGGTAGATGTGTGGGTACTGGAGGCCGAGCAGAAGAAGACGAACGTGGCATTTTTAGAGGCCCAGTAGTTTTAGGATAGGTCTAGGCCCTCCCACATTTCCAAGAGGAAAATATTTCGCTCCCACACCGACTCTTCTTTTTTTGGCTTGCCGCACAATCCAGGTTGGGAGAAAAAAGAGATTCTCAACGCCAGCGCCATCGGTTAGCGCTCACAATTAGCGCTCACGCTAACGCACACTCCCGCACGCGGCAACGCCCGTCACCCTCTCGAGCCAACCGCGCACGGCGTTTCGCCCAGGCGCGCGCGGCAATTCTCGTCCCGCCCGACTTTGAAATCGAGCGGGAAAGGACGTAAGGAAGCCGCGCCTTCGGGCGTGGCAAACGGGAAACCATCGCGCGACGCAATCATCATCAAGGACAACGCCAGCAATGAAACAGACTTACTGGAAATAGTAAGGCTGTGAGTAGAATCGTGAAGGACAGAGGATCGCAGAAGGGAAATTAGCAAGGCGATTATCGTAGGGAAGGAGTGTAATTCAGAGAAAATCCAAGAGAAGGGAAGCGAAGAGGGAGGAGACAAAGACAAACACAAAGAGAGAATTGGGAATAAGGAGTGGAAAAAGGAGAGCGGAGGAAGTAAACGAGGAAGAGAGAAGGAAGTAAGGGGA